TGCTCTCACACTTTCCATCACCCGTAAAAGAACAGGAAAACACAATGCTATTGGTTATAACGACCACTCTCACACGCATGCTGGCCACCTCGCACTCGGCTACTAACTTTTTCAGAACACTGGAGGTAAATTTCAGAACATGCCAACAAAACAAAGTAGTCTCCAAACAGCAACTTCTAGCATTAAAATTTCCTAAGGGGATAAACTCGTCACCTCAATTGTGCCTGACCATCCTTTACAGCAAAGGAAAAGGGCAGAACGCAACCTTGACAGAATCTATTACATTACGTACGAAGGAACCGTAATATAATGTTATACAATATAATTTGGCGTTTGCCTCCTTCCTCGGTTACCCACAGATGTTATTTCGGAAACCTTCCACTTATTTAGTTTCGCAGTTTCTTTTCAACTTACCCATAATCAAAAAAAAAACTGCTGTGCTACACGCCTAAGCGAAAAACTAGTTGAAATACATTAGTAAAGGATGAACAGCGATCAGCTCCGTGAATAGGATGTATGAAGAGGTTCAGCATAAATACGTTTGATGATGAGTGAAAAATAGGCGATTATTCAGCGACCAGCGCCATCAAAAGATCAACGAATTACATTTATCACAAAAGTGAAATAAAAGCAAAATCAGGAAGAAAGTTAAAAATTTTTAATACCACACTATGCTATGATGCAAATAAACTGTAATAGCCTGTTCTCTAACCCCAACAAAGAACGAGACTGAAAGAGGCAGCATACTTTATTTGAATGCTTAAGATGTGCCTGATGCTTAAGATGACAAAAAACGTTTATATTAAATGGTATAGAAAAAATGGATATTTGTTGAAAGGTTCTTAAGTGGTACCCGTTTGTCAGATTCTTCAGCAGTGCCACCAAGACACCGTAATTAGCCTTCTGAGCTATTGTTGGCAAGAGCATCGATACTTGTTCGTGAAAAGACGCTCGAAGTCAGGCCGACTGAAGGACAAAGATCAAACCAAGAATTGCATTGGTCTATTACAAATGCAAGTAGTAATTGATAAGGGTAACAGACGCTTTTCCAAAGGAAGTACCACAGGATCTAAACAATGGGCATAAATGAAATTTTGTAAATGCTAATTATATTTAGACAGATTTTATCAGTTTGTTGCTTAAATCGGAGAATCAGAGATGACGCGACTACTGCATAATCCGCAATTTGAATTTTAGATCTCAAAGTGGCGAAACTCGTGGGATAGGTCAAACTTGATGAAGCTACCTTCTTTTGGATAACAAGCCTTAGCAGGCAGGCATCAGGTTCATGGCTTGGACTGGGAAAGAAAATAGCAGTACTAAGCAAATGGAAAACGTGCGAAATAAATCGGTTAATGAGCAAATCGAACCAAAAAAAATAACGCAATCAGATCACGTGCGTTTCATTACTGAGGGCAATTACCATGGTTCATTAACTACCCCTACTATGCTCAGAAATGTATGTATGCAACATTTACGTAAAATAAATGAAATTTGATGGTTATTCAAAGAACCGTTAGCTCGACGAGCTATTAATATTATCACACAATTTAAGGGTTAGGTCTCTAAATGCAACAAAGGTTCATTTCCTGAGCGAAGATGGACAGTTCTGCTCAGAAAATGAGGCACATCTTTCGACAAGACCTAAAATTACGTTTCCCGGACATATTCAGTCCAGATGGGTTGAATGTTGCTATTACATTTTATTCTGTTTCCAAAATCAACCTGTCGGGTCTACGCCAGGAAAAACTTGCATTCAGGTATAATGAGAAGCGATGCTCATTTTTAGTTCAGAACAGGGACGCATCGATGAAATAATTTCCACGTATTTTGTTTTGGGTGACTCAAGCCTGCCAACTTTCTCAATAGGAAGTCAGTAACTAATTTAGTCACTGTCATTCTACACCTTCTCTTCATTAACAGTACCAACCAAATCGAACAATGAAGAATCATGATAAAAAGCATTAGTGTAGCAGACACAAAAAATATCCCCATACTCACAGACAATAAAAAATACTTCAATACAAACAAATGTACCAGAATGCCAATAAACTGTAAATACATATACCGGTGAAATAATGTATAAATGATTTCAAATGTGCCGTAACTGTATGCCAACAGCAGGGATAAACAGGTGGGAATTAATATATGCTTATATAAATATTTTTAAACTGTCGCGGTTAAAATTATCAGGCAGCATACGCAACGACGTAAGGAGGAACACAACCATTCCAGCACAACATCATTACACAAGCG